GTGTGTGTGACTGTCGGCGACGTGGCACACAATCTCTCTCTCTCTCTCGGTCTCCCCCTCTCCCCCCTCTCTCTCTCTCTCTCTCCTGCTCGTGCGTGTGGCGCCCTGCGATCGCGCATGCGCACGCCGCGCTCGTCTGGTATTGCTCTCCGGCGTCCGCGGTGACGAATGAGCGCAATTAGAAAATTAGCCTCAGACGCGCAGCCGTTATATATCTTAACAAGCCGCAGGAAGTGCACCCCCGTGACTGCGCTCGCTTCCGTCGGCCCGCCACGACTTGCCGTCAAAATAACGTCACTTGTCCTATTAGAGCGTAAGCGATGCACGGCAGGCCTGGCGCGTCGGTCGTTACCATGGCGACAGCGCGAAGAACGGATGCGCCGGGATTCGATGGGGAAACTATTCGTTGAAATTAATGTGGTGGAGGTGGCGTGCGAGTTTGCTATCTGTAAATTTTTACGAATGTAAAAGAAAAAAGAAAAGGAGCGAAAGGAAAAAAATGCAACGCGTTCTGGCAACAACATCGAACCGGCATTTCAATTGTTATACGCACACGTGTTATTATTTCCCCGATACATTCTGCGGTTTTGTCTTGTTTGTAACAATTTCCGCTCCATCTTTATAATAATTAGCTAATTTTAAATCCATTTATAGTCAAGCGGCCCCGTGCGTTTATTTCCACCAGCGTGTATTTCTCTTCATTACGATATCACGCAATACTTTCTCAATTCGCAACGTCCTTGAACGTAACGACGCCATATTTAATATTTAGTCTGTCAGTTACTGCACTGAACCAGAGAAATAATAATATACGAGTTCTCGATTTTATGAAATAATGAAGCAATCAGCAACGGAGCCATGAAAAAAGACAGTAATGTTGTAGTGGAATCATTAAAAAATGCTTCCTACACACAAACGTGCACGCACGCACGCACGCACGCACGCACGCACGCACATAGGCACGCACGCACATAGGCACGCACGCACATACTCTCTCATAAACGCGCGCGCATACACACACTAATCGCAGATATTATAAATATATAATATACGAACTCGCAGATATGATAAATATATAATAAACGAACTAGTAGATATGATAAATACATAATAGACTAAGTCGTGTGACAAACGCAAATGTATATATAAGAACGAGCCAGTACGGTACCATCACATTGTAAGCGGCGTAGTTTACATAATCTATACATAAAATGGCGCTTATACAGTATCATGTGGAATATACGACGCGCGCAAACGTAAGCAACACGACTAACACAGCGCTCTTCGCTCCTGCCGTATCTCTCGGGCCGCTCCCCGCTCCGCCTGTGACCCCGCCGACGGTGCCGCCCCCGTCGTCGCAAGACGTCGCGTAATGCTCGGCCGCCTCGCACTCCGTCGTCGCTGAGCCGGCGGGCGACAGCGGGAACTTTCCCGTGGAGATGTGCACTGACGTGAGGTTGGGCATGCAGCTTGCTGGGTTGTCATCGATGGTGACGTTTGGAGCGCAGCAGCCTAGCAACAGCAGCGACTGCATCCGACGCAGGCCGGCGAAGTCGACGGCGTCGATGCGACACAGCGGGTTGTGCGACAAATTGAGCAGTCGCAGACGCTTCGTCGACTGCAGCGCCGCCGACGGCACGCGTCGGAACTCGTTTCCTTGCAGATAGATGGCGCTTAACTCGTCGAGACCACAGAAGGCGCAGGCGGGTAGAGAGACGAGCGCGTTGCGGTGCAGGTCAAGCGTTTCTAGGTTCGCGAGCCGACTGAACTGCCGCTCCTTCACTTCCCCCAGGTCGTTGCCACCGACGAGCAGCTCAGCGACACCTAGCGGCAACTCGCTCACTAGCTCGTCGAGCGCCTTCTGGGAGAGTCGGTTGTCGCAGAGACCGACGAAGGCGAGCTGACGCAGGGTGGAGAATGCTCCTGCCTTGACGCTGCGCACGGCGCCGTAGTTCAGATCCAGTACTCGCAGCTGAGATCCCGCGGGAAACTAGAACAATAACGTCATTGATGATCTTATTTATTACTATTTTTATAATTATTATTATTATCATTATTATTATTATTATTATTAGTAGTAGTTGTAGTAGTAGTAGTAGTAGTAGTAGTAGTAGTAGTAGTAGTAGTAGTAGTAGTAGTAGTAGAAGCAGCAGCAGCAGCAGCAGCAACAGCAGCAGCAGTAGTAGTAGTAGTAGCAGTAGTAGTAGTAGTAGTAGTAGTAGTAGTAGTAGTAGTAGTAGTAGTAGTAGTAGTAGCAGCAGCAGCAGCAGCAGCAACAGCAGTAGTAGTAGT